CATGCCGCCGGTCATGATTTGCACCCCCCCTCTTGGACACCCCCCTCTTGGCCGCTCCCGACATAAGGTCAAGGCCGGTCGGGAAGGATGCCCTAATGCTCTTCGTGCTTGTGGGATGTTCTCGTGCATCCTGGGGGAAGGGTACCCTCGAGGGATCTTATGGCTCGGGGTGCTTTGTTGGCCGGCGGAGGGACTCATGTTCTTGAAGGGTGCCTTTTTTCGAGGGTTGAAAAAACGACCCTACCCTGGGTTATAAGTGCGTGGTCTGTAGACCTCCTGGGGACCCTCAACGCCTAGAGCCGCCAGGGCGCGGCACATCACGCAGGGTTTGTCCTGTCAGCCCCAGCGCACAGCGCCTCGTAAACCAGGGTAGGGGCGGTTTTTCTGCCTTTGATTTTTGCCCTAGATTCGACTGCATTCGGTGCTACGGGTGCCTGCGTGGAGCCGCCCGCCCGTGGGCTTCCGCGGCGGGCGCCGCCTCCTCGGGCGCCGTGCCACGCCCCGCGGCCTGCCGCGCGGCCCCTTTCGCTCGCGGCCGCCTCCTGCTTCGGTGCGCTTCGGGTCGGCGCCCGATATTTTTCGAGTGTCGGCGCGCCGACGCCCGCCTTTGCTCGCTGGCCCCTGACCAGTGGCACCTCTACAGTCGGGGCCCTGAAGAAGGAATCCTTTTGGTTGGGGAGGGGCTCCGCGTTCCTTAAGTGTTTCACAGCTTGCCTCAGGTTTTCCTTTTGTTTTCGATCGGAAATCGAAGTTTAACTCATGGAAAAAATGGGCCTCGTTCCTTATTTAGGGTTCCTTAGGTCAACGCCCCGACTGTAGGGGAACAAAAAGTGACATAAGCACAAAAACTCGGAGTTCGCGCGGATTTCTCGGATCGGCGCTGGACCCCCCTCCCTGGCGCGCGGAGCGCGCCAGGGGCGGCGCCGGAGGCGCCGCCGGGGGGGCCCAGCGCCGATCCGAGACATCCGCGCGGACCTCCGAGTTTTTATGTTTATGCCATTTTTTGTTCCCCTAACCTCGGCGCCACCCGCCCCTGGGTTTCCGTGCCAGGTGTCGCCTCCTCAGTCGCTCTGGCGCACCCGCGGCCGCTGGATCTTTGTCGGCTCCGTCGGCCGCATCACTGCCTGGCGCTCCAGGCGGTCCCCACGGCTTCCTCGGGTGGCAATTTTACCACCACGTGGCGTCCGCAGAAGCCCCCAAGTGGCCTTGGGCGAGGAGACGCCCGTGCTCCCGGCGAAGGCCCGACGCCCTCTAAGCCTTCTGCGCGCGGGCCCGCCCCCCCCCGGCCTCCTCCTCCTCCTCCTCCTCCTCCTCCTCCTCCTCCTCCTCCTCATCCTCCTAGTCCTCCTCCTCCTCCTCCTCCTCCTCCTCCTCCACCTCCTCCTGGCAATTTTGCCTCTGCATCCGCCTGTGGCAGTCCAGGCTGTCACGCTCGGCCTCTTCCTTCGCCGGCTCACTGGTCTCTCCTGCACGGCGAGCGTCTTGTGTGTTCCCTATCATGCTCGCCTAACGCAGCCGCCTCTGCCTTTTCTGCACGTGGCTCGCCTTGCGTAGTGTGAAGGGCTTCCGGTCGGCGCCGTCGACCCAGAAGGACGACGGCGACGACGACCAAGACCACGACCATGATGGCAACGACAACGACGAGCTGATGGCCCCTCCACAGGCTCGGGACATGCGGCGGGCGCTGGAGGGAGGAGAAGGCGGAGGAGGAGAAGGTGGAGGAGGAGGAAGCAGAGTAGGAGGCGGAGGAGGAGGAGAAAGGGACGGATGAGAAATATGAGGAGGAGGAGGAGGAGGAGGAGGAAAAGGAAAAGGAAAAGGAAAAGGAGGAGGAGGAGGAGGAGGAGGAGGAGGAGGAGGGGGAGGGGGAGGGGGAGGAGGAGGAGGAGGAGGGAGGAGGAGGAGGAGGAGGAGGAGGGGGGGGAGGAGGGGTGGAGGAGGAGAGGAGGAGGAGGAGGAGGAGGAGGAGGAAGAGTAAGAGTAATAGTAAGAGGAAGAGGAAGAGGAAGAGGAATAATAATATTAAGAATAAGAATAAGAAGAATAAGAATAATAATCAGAAGAAGAAGATGAAGAAGAAGAGGAGGAGGAGGAGGAGGAGGACCCTCACCTTCCGCAGAGTCTTGTTTTTTAGCAGTCCAGCGTTAAAAGCAAAAGCAGAGGCCGAGCAACGGCCAGACAGACGGCAGGTTCGCCGCCGCGGGGGTGCCCGCATATGGCTCGTGGGCTCAGCCTCGGTGCCAGGGGCCGCCCCCCCCGTGGCCGGGGCGGCACGCAGCCAGCATCTTGGCATCGCTCGGACGTGTGCATTTTTCCTTCGGCGAGGACCATCGAGGAGCATCCTTGATCATTTGTCGAACAAGCCACGCACGAAACCCAAAAAACACAGGGAATGGACGTCCGAGCGATGGCGAGGCATAGAAACTGCCAGGATGGTGCCCAGGAGGGGTTGGAGGATCGCTCTTGCTTGAGAACTGCCTGCCTCGGGCTCGCGTCGCGTCGACACGGCGGCGCCGCCGGCGCGGGGCTTCGCGCGAGGGCCGAAGGAAGACCACCGGCGTCCCGAGCTGGGCAAAACTCCGGAGGAAAAAAAGCATACGGACACAATTCATCCTCGATCCCCCAGAAAGGATGGGAAAATATGGGAAGGGGGGGGGGGAAGACAGAAATCCAGAAAATATAGCATTTATTTGTGTGTCCTGGGGCCCCTTCAAAGACCTTGGGCGGCCTGCGCCGTCGGAGGTCGGACGCTGCCCGAAGCTGCAAGGACCGACGCAGCGCTTGAAGCCAACGGCCACGTCAGCACGACAGTGACCAGCCGTGCCCTCAAGTGGCCTTCATGCAGAGGGGCCCCAGGAGGCTCCCAGGAGGGCCCGGACGAGATCTCACAGGGTTCCAGGCGGCCCAAAGATGCTACCATGAGGGGGACACAACGACAGACCACGCAGCGAGACGGGTCCACAAACGCGGGGCATTCCACCAGGGCAGGTCCAAGTGGGCCCACCCCATGCTAGAGCCCAGGACACTAACATGTAGAATCTGTACTCATGAGGCTCACACACTAGAGGAGTACCATGCGCACGCGCGAGAACATCTAGCGGGGCCCGAACAGATCAGAGCAGCCAAGGGCGGCGCAGCCCACGGCCTCAAGCGCCCTGGACGAGCAGATGGGGTGGAGGGCCAAGCGCCCACCGCCGTCAGGCCCAGAAGAACTACGACCGCAGAAGCAGGCCAACATCGGCGAGGGCAGCAGCAGCAGTCAGGCGAACGCGCCAGGGGCCCGAGGAGCAGGGCGAGGTCGCGGACCCCCAGGAGGTGTTGGCCAAGGTGGGAGGAGAGGGAGTGCAAGCACACCTGCGAGACAGCATGCGTGCACTACAGCGGCTGGCTCTACAGAGCGCGGCGGAGATACGCGACCTCTCCCACCTCACCAGCGAGCTCTGGCTGGCCACCCTCGCGGAATGGTGGATCCAGGCACCGATCGAGACGGGCCGAGCGCGCGGCAGAAAGGCGAGGGCAAAGGGCAAGGGCCACGGGCGCGGTCTCCCACGCGGCCACGCGGCAGCCGCCTTCGTGGAGGGCTCCGTGGAGGCGCTCAAGACAAAGGTGCAGGACAACGACCGGGCGATGCCGCGCGTGACGAAGACCTTCGCACAGTTCATGGAGCAGCTGGACCAGTCTTGGGGACCCGATACTCGTGACAGGGGTCTTCTTGCAGCGCGAGATCCAGGGGGCCCACGAGCCCCCGGGCGAGGAGATGGAGACGGCGCCGCGCAAAACCAACGTCATGCACGCTACCCTGCGTCGCCGTCGAGCAGAGCCTAGACCAGGCCCAGTGCGATATGATCCTAGGCCTCAAGGAGGATAGTTATGTTCAAGCAGTCCCTGGGGGCGGCGCTCGCGCTCTCGGGCACCAAGAAGAGCCGCTCGGGAGGCCGAGAACGGGACTGGCGAGGGTAGTGGGGGCCCAGCTCAGCAGGCGCCGACAGCAAGCCAGCCATTGCCACTAGAGAAGCTCAGCAGCCCTCAGCCGCCAGAAGCCGCGGGCCCCGCGGGCGCCTCCTCGGGGCCAGCGGGACGAAGGCCTTCCAACGACAGGCCCCCCTCAGTCCCGCCGTGCACCAGAGAGGACAATCCAGCGATGCAGATCAGCAGCGACCTCGGGCGATATGCGATACTAAAAGACAAAGCGCCACGATTTGGGGACCACATGGCCGAAATACTACGCATGGCTACTTACTATCGGGAGCAACGCTCGAGGGGACACCATCAGGCCACGGGGCCAGAATGAGACAAGGTTGGCCACGACATCGGCCAACCTACTCTCACAGTAACGGTCTAACCACCCCCCTCGCTACTACCTCCATCACTATTAGGCGTATTGACCTCAGTTGCAGGACTAGGCCGACAGCGACTGGAAACGGGAGCCTCGGGAGATTGAAGAGAAGCCGTGCCAGGACCAACCAGGACATTAAGTACCAGGGGTTGAAGCGACCATGACTTTCATAGATGCCCAGACTTTCTGCCTCCTCCTACAACCACCGACACATCTGCTGACCCACGCCTGCCCCCTCCTACTATGTTGCGTTCCCCAGTCAAGGTCGCAACCGGGCCAGGCCAGGAACAAGGCGACAGGCTCCGACTCCAACCGCGCCAGGTCCGCCCCCCACCGCGGCCATTTGATTCGACCAGAGTTTACGGCGCGCCCCGCGCGTGGGACCAGAGTTGGAGCTGCTGCCGACACCACGGCCAGTTGGCATGGCGCCGCAGCGCAGCCCAACAGCCTGGGCGGCGGCCGCGGCGAAGGGGCCCCACTCCCCAGCGCAAAATACGGCGGCGATGGAGATGGAAGGGGTGGCGATCCAGAACCCAGCCGAGCGTGGAGGCGGACCAGGTGACCAGGTATTCGGGGCTACGCTGTACCGCCTGGAGAAGCGCCGGAAGACGCTGTAGAGCACCAGTGCGAAGTGTGACGGCACAAGCAGCAGGAGCGCATCACGATGAGCCTCGCGAGGATCACGGCAAGCAGGATCCCGAACCAGTGCGAGGATGTCGAGAGGGCCCACGTGGCGGAGCTACTACAGCAGCTGGGCGAGAACAGCAAGGCCATCGAGCACTGCCGAGTCGTCGAGATCATCCTCAGCAGCCAGGGTCGGCTTCGCCAGGGGCCATTTCCATGGGGGCTCGACTGCGAGAGGCTCCAGATCGGTGTGCTTGAGGACTGCTGCGCTAAGTGGGCGGAGGGCAACCACCGCTGGGGCTACGACGAGGTGAAAACGGTGGACCAGAGCGGGCCCAGCAGCTTGCAGCAGGCGCACGACAGCAGCAAGCAGCAGCGCCCCCAAGTGCGTGACGCCCAGCAAGAGCACTCAGGGGTGGAAGCCGCGCGTCAGAGCGCTGCCGACGCACTGCAGCTCCTGCCCTCGCCCCCGCCAGGGACCCCAGCGGGGCCGACTGCTCCGAGCCCGAGCGGGGACTTCGCCTCCGCGATCCAAAGGTCGCAGAGAAGGCGGGGTGGGGGCTGGGGCTGCTGTCGTGAGCAGTAAATCCAGCCAGCGCCTGCCCTCCTCTGTTTCTTCGGGGCCCGCCTGTCATGCGACCACCGTCAGTATTAACCTGCCACTGAGGCCTAATCTACGGCACTCCCAGGCAGGCGGGCCCCGCGACATGTCAGTTCAGCAGCAGGGCAGACCAGCGTCTCTTGTTTTCTCGGTTCAGCAGAGCGCCAGCCGTGAGGAGTGGGGAAGTGAGGGTGCGGGGGGGGGGCTCTCAGCGGGCGGGGGCCCGCCTCCACGGGGAGGCACCCCCGCCCGCCTGCGCCTCATATCCAGCTCACAAAGGCAGTGTTTCCCTGCTACAGCGCAGCAGCGGCCCCTATAATAGGGTAGGCGGCCGCGCGCACCAGGCAGCCCCCCAGCACTAATAGTAGCAAACGTGGCATGCATCCATATGTTCACCCAGGGGTCCTGTTTTTTTTTGTCGGTTAAATATCTCAGACCCCGAAGGGCCTCATCTGCATCTTTATCATTATTCTCCCCCTCCTCCTCCTCCTCCTCCTCCTCCTCCTCCTCCTCCTCCTCCTCCTCCTCCTCCTTTTCCTCGTCCTCTAAGATAGTCGCGCTGCGCGCGTCGCGTCCTGGGTTCGAGCTGTGGCGACGATGGCCTCGCGGGGCGCTGGGCGGGAAGCTAAGCTTTTCCTCCCTTCGCGCGGCGGCTGAAATAGTGCAGGCCGTCATACCGAATGCCCTTCTCCAAGGGCGGCGGTGCGAGGTCCCTGGGGCGCGAAGAAAACCGCGAGAGGTGCTTCGCGGGGCGCGATGCGCGAAGATGGGTGATAAAGTCCACAAGGCGCTGTGCCTCCTTCTCCTCTGACCTCCCGCCCCTCGCATCCCTCCCCTCCCGCTGCGCGCGCCCGAGCGCGCTTGAGCTTCTGGGATTCGCCACGCAGCATGCGGGTCCCTCAGGCCCCGTCTGCTGCATGCCGAGGGTCCCCCCCTTGCGTTCGAGGACAGCTGGAGCGCGCCAGGCCGCAACATCAGGACAAATCCGCTACAGATGAGCACGTCCAGCCTCCTCACTGTCTCCGCAGCGACCCTTGAACTTCCCAGTCGACTGCTGGCGCCTTCGTCCATAAACAAGAACCGCTCCTCGCACCGCACCGGGGAGCGAGCGAGCTCAGCCATGAATCGGCGCACGAGTGCACTCGCACATCCTCGTCCTCATCCCTGCTCGGCCGCCTCCCCGTAGCGACTTTTGCTCACGGCTCCCTAGCCCCTGGGGGCGGCCAGCGTGGCCATGGCGCTGCTAACCCCGCAGGGCCAGGGTGTGCGCCGATCGAAGCGGGCCCCCGGCCTCCACCCAATTCTGGCCGCCCATGGCCGGATTGAGAAATCCGCGCCGACGCACTGCACGTCGCTGCGGTCACTTTGGGTCGAGGCGGGTTTCCCAAACTCGGGTGAAACGGCATCTGTTGAGGATGAAAAGCACTTTTTTTGATTCGCGGATCGAGAGCGCACCTCTTCCGGTCGAAGCTAAGCGGGCCGCGCGAAGTTTGAATTAACCAGAGATGGGGGAGGAAGAGGGATTATGTTTGTTTGTGTTTTTTTCATCCTCGAGTCATGAGGATAAAAACACAGACACAAAGAAGCGCCGGTTCCCAGGAGAGTAAGGGAAAGCATGGGAAGTGGGGGGGGGAAGACGACCCTCAAGAAAATCTGGAGCATGTGGGAATCCAGGACCTTGCGTCTATTTCTTTGTGTTTCTCTGGGCCCCTTTAGTCTGCAGAGGCGGGGGCGGGGGGCCCGTTTCGACCGGCCAGGTGCGCCCGCGGCCCGCCGCGCCGATGCTGTCCTCGCCAGGGCCCTCCGCAGGCACCCCTGCTTCGAGGGCCCGGGGGTGCACTGGTCGCTGCCAGAGGATCGACTAGACGTAAGAGTGACCTTTCGCCGGAGTGACCTTTGGTGCGGGCGCAGATGGGTCCCCAGATGGCTAAAAACGAGGCAGTAGCAGCTGCTTGCGCGCCCACGTTTGGTCCCCCCGCGGCCCCCCAAAAGTCGCGCACCAAAGGTCACTCTTACCCAGGGTCACTCCTGCGTGTAGCCGAGAGGAGTCTGCGCTGAGGCTCAGAGGAGGAAAAGGTACCCATACCGCTACCCCTCCTTCGTTTTCCCCCCGCTTGGGCCTCTTGGGAGGCCCTCGTCTCCACTGCTGGCTTCGCCCCGAAAGTCTGGTCAGAACGCTTTCTGGGAGTGGTCCGGGGAGTAGCGGTATCGGTACCTTTTGGTTTCCCCAGAGGCGGCGCCTGACGGTCCTGGACCTCATCCTGATGGGCGTTGGCGGCAGCGTCGGTGCTGGCATCTTTGTGATCTTCGGCACGGCGGTGCAGCCCACCGGCCCGGCGGTCAGCGTCTCCTTCTTCCTTGCCTCTTTTGCGAGCGTGTTCAGCGCGCTGTGTTACGCAGAGTTGGCCGCGAGGATACCCATCTCGGGCTCGGTCTACATCTATGCCTACGCCGCCTTCGGCGAGCTATTAGCTTTGCTGGTCGGGGTCAACTTCATGGTTGACAACCACTTCTCCGCGGCTCTTAGCATAATGAGCTGCGCAAACTACTTGCGCGGCACGGTGGCCTCAGAATTCTCACCAGGGTACTTCCCGAGCTGCTTGGTGCTGTCCTTGCTGTTCGCGGTGCTCCTGACCGGGGTCTTGTCTGTCGGGGTGGAAAGTGGGCTCAAGAAGGCCAACGCCCTCCTGGTGTTCGGCAAGTTAACGATCGTCCTCATTATAATCGGCATGGGCTCCACGAAGATGCACCCAGAGAATCTCCTCCCCTTCGCGCCCTACGGAGTAATGCCCGTCATATCCACGACTTCGACATGCACTTATGCTTTCATTGGCTTCGGCACCGTGGCGAGCGCCGCGGAAGAATGCGTGAATCCTCGTAGAGATTTGCCGATTGGCATCATTGTGTCTCTGCTTATATGCGCCTGCCTGTATGTTGCGTTTGCCATCGTGTTGTGTGGCATAGTCCCGTTCAGGGAAATATCAGTCGAGGCGCCCGTTGTGGATGCATTTGGCCCTAAGTATGCAAACATACCAGCGGTTGACGCGCTTGTTGACTGGGGGTCTGTGCTTGGGCTGTTGACCACTGTGTTGGTTGGTATGTACTCTCAAGCAAGAGTGTACCTGGCGATGGCGCGGGACGGGCTCATCTGCAGCTTCTTCAAGCGCGTGTCGCCGTCCTTCGGCACGCCGATGCGGGCGCAGGTCCTGTGCGGTGTCCTGGCCGCGGCTCTCCTGTGCTGCGTGCCGGTGAAGAGGATCGTTCGCTTCCTGAACATTGGAACCCTCTCGTCCTACTCCGTCGTGTGCGCCGGCGTGCTCGCGCTCCGCGCTGAGCGGCCTGGGGCCGCCGCGCGCGCCAGCGGCATGGTGTTGGCGGTCTCCACGCTGGCTTCGGCGGTGTCCTCACATGCTGGGCCTTTGTTCGGCACAGCACTGCTGGCGCTGGTGCTCCTGAGCTGGCTGCCGCTGCTGTGGCAGCGCTACACCGTGCCGCTCACATTCGCGTGCCCGCTTTGTCCGCTGCTACCCTTACTCGGCATCACCATCAACGGCTACATGCTCTCGCAGTGCCCGTGGGAGGCATGGCTGAGGCTCGCAGTGGTGACCGCCGTTGTGTGTGGGCTGTACGTCCCGCACGCCCTGCGGGCAGTGGACAGCAACGACAATAGCCCCGCGCCTGAGGATTCCGTCAGCAGCAGCATCATCATCGAGGCTTGCGCCGCCGGGGCCCCCGGAGCCGCAGCGGGGGCGCAGGTTCGCCACTCGGCTACGCTTTAAGAGGGGCCCTTCGCCAGCGTGACCCCTGGTGCGGGCCCGCAGGGGGGTCCCGCCAGCACTGGCCGGCGCGCTCGGCCTGCTCTGATTTGGCCGCCCCCGCGGCCCCCCGAAGCCGCGCACCAGAGGTCACTCTTGCCCAGAGGAGGAGGAGGAGGAGGAGGAGGAGGAGGAGGAGGAGGAGGAGAAGAAGGAGGAGGAGGAGGAGGAGGAGGACTTGCGGGCAGCCGCAGGTTCGCCAGTCTTCTGGGCGCTGAGCGATGCCGCTCTCGGGCGGCGGACGGGGCGGCCGCCGCGCAGCTCGTGGGCGGCGAGTCTCGCGGACGGCGCGATCCTCGCCGCCTTGGCCTGCGCTCTCGGATGGCCCGAGGGGCTCGCGGGGCGGCAAGCGCCTCTCCTCCTCGCCCCTCCCGAGGGGCAGTGTAAGAGGGGGGGGATAGGCCCAGGGGGGGAAGCATCGACCCCCCATCGCCAATGATCGCCGATGCAATCGGACCGAGGTAGAAGATCGAGGTCGGTTCGGGAAGGGTACCCTGATGTTCTTCGTATTTGTTGGAGGCTCTTGTGCATCCTGTGGAGGCTACCCTTGGGTGGTCTGTGTGTTTGGGCCGTCCTGGGTCCGACTGCAGGTGCCCGATGGCCCATCCCGCCCAGGAATGCGAGGCTCCGTTCCCGGGGGGGCCCGCATCGGCGATGCCTCGCCGATCCGGGCTCAGCGCTTCTCCTCCCGAGCAGGTCACCCCCACCGCTGCCCCTCGACCCCCACGGGGCTCTGTGCCTCCTCTCCTCTGGACGCCTGGCGTCGTGCTCCCTCCCGAGCCCCTCCCCTCCCGAGTCGTGTTTCTCGACGAGCCCGGGGAGCCCCAGGGTTCGGCCCCATCGGAGGCGGAGCCCTGCGGAGAGCGCCCGCCAGGCCGGGGCCTCGGATGCCTCGCCTCGCCTCCGATGCCTTCGGTGCGGCGAGAGGGGGGGAGGCTGGCGGCAAGGCCCACTCCCAGAGATCCAACGTATTGAAAAAATCAAGACGGAGGTTTCTCGCAATTTTCGGCCTCGAGGGGCCTTCGCCGGGCCCCGGGACCGTCAAAAAACGACTCAGGATGAAAAACCGGTCCCGGGGAACGGGTCGAGACCTCCGGGGGCCCCGTATTGAAAAAATCACGACGTCGGATCTCTGGGCTGCAGGCGAGCCCGCCTACCGAAGCCACCCGCGCCGCCCCGCCGCCCAAGCACAGGCGCTGCCTCAGAAGGGGAGCGTGAAGGCGGGCTGCTCGTCTCTCCTGCCAGTCCTCTCCTCCCCCTCCTCCTCCTCCTCCTCCTCCTCCTCCTCCTCCTCCTCCTCCTCCTCCTCCTCCTCCTACCCCGTCTCTTTAAGTGCCACATGTTCGTTGCGCTTAGTTACATGGTTCCCATGTTTACCATCAGCTGAAAGCTGACCTGGCGTTGAGGCATCGGCCGCCCACGCCCGCCTACCACCACGAAATCAGATCGGCCGTCCTCGCAGCCATGCGTTGCTGAGCCCTGCCGAGAAGCTGACACGAACCCGTCAAGCTACGTGCGTTCCTACCCCGCTTCTGAGCTCCCGGCTTCGGAAACAAACAGCGAGCACTCATGCCATGTCCATCGGTCAGCTTCTCCCCCTCCCCCCAGTGTTCAACGTTGGTGGTGGGCCTGATGAGTTGCATTTCGACCGCAGTCTCTTCCGCGCGTGCCAACTTTGAGTTTGGGGGAGAGGGGGAGTGTCCACTGCTTGTCTCCCTCCACCTTCCGACCATCGCCAAAAGCTGCTGAAGGTCGCGCGCGACCGCCCCAGCAACCGCTTGATCGGCCGCCGCCTGCCGCGCGGGCCTCTGTGCGCCCTCTCCCCGCCACGGCTGGCGAACGGGGTCAGGGGCAGCGACAGGGGGGTGGAGGGGGGGGATAGGCGCTCTCGTCCTGCTCCTGCCCCTCTCCTCTTCCTCCTCCACCTTCTGCATGTTATCCCCCTCTCCAGTGTACAATCGCCCAAGAAACCACGCCTACGGCGCAGCAGACGATGGGCCCACAAACTCTGCAAGCTCCATTCGGGGACCAAGGTCTCGTCGGACTCCCCCGTCGGCGGATAGAGCAGGACCTTGTCCAGAGGGAAGGGATGGGTGGGCGGGGCAGGATGTCAGATGTTGCGCGAGCGCCTGGCCCGCCCGCCCCTCCTCCTCCTCCTCCTCCTCCTCCTCCTCCTCCTCCACCTGCTCTCTGTCTGGACCTCGCGCCCTCTCGGAGGGCGCGCGCGCGCGCGAGTCCCACCTGGGACCCCAGGCGCCGAGATCCCCTCCCCTCCGCCCCCGCCGCCGCCGAGGAGCGGGACTCCTCCGTCATATCAATCGACAGCACCTGAGGGGCGGGGGCGGGGCGGGGCGGGGCGGGCGGGCGGCTGCCCCCCGGGGGCCGCGGCCCCGCTGCCCCTGCGCCGGGGGCGCAGGCTGCCCAACGCGCGCCCGCCGTCGCCGCCCGCGCGGGCGCCGGCTCGGCCCCGCTCTCCGCGGCGGCGAAGAAGGGCGCGCGCGTGCGCACGCGCTGGCGCCGCTCCCGCTTCTCCGCCGCCCCTCCCGCGCCACGCCTGCGGCGTCGTGGCCGTCGTCGATCCCCCGGCGCGTCCTGTTTGCCGGAGTCTCTGCTCGGCCTCCGCATCCTCGAGGGGCGGCTCCGGGCCCTGCATGAGGAGGGGCTGCACGCAGGGGTGACCATTCGCCGGAGTGACATTTGGTGCAGGCCCACTGGGGTCCCCCGATCGCTGAATGCGATGCGATGGCAGCGGCTTGCGCGCTTAGGCTTGGCCCCCCTCCCACCGCACCCCCCCCCAAAGCCGCGCGCCCCTCCCCCGAAACGAAAAAAAACGAAGCCTCGCCCCCCCCCCCCCCCCCCCCCCCGAAACAAACGAGTGTCTGTTGCCTGGGATCACTCTTGTGCGCGGACCAGAGAAAGCCGTTGAATCGATCCTGGAAGTACGGCCTGTCTCGGGGGGGACGGATCGAGAATTCTCGGGGCCCACGTCGTGAGAGTCACGGCGCCGAGGGTCTGAGGAATCTCGGTGAGGATTTCGCGCAGCGGGCCTTGCGGAAGATGCCTGCGGCCCGCAGGGGCGCTTTGGATTCTTTTGAACGATGGCGCTTGCGCAATCGGGCGGTATTATGGACCGAGGAAATCTAGGGTCTCCTCGGTTTGTTCCCAATGGTTGCCTACGACTTGTTAATGCACGGCATGGGGATAAGCTTCTCGGGCCAGGGCACCCTGGGTCTCTCCGAGGGGTGTCCGTAGCTAAGGAACCCGGGCCACGGGCAGGAAACTTTGCGTATTTTCAGTCGGCGGCGAGCGAGGGGGGGAAGTGAGAAGGACAGTGCTTTCTCAGAAGGTTCAGAAATCCCCCGGCCTTCTGGGAAGTTTTTAAGCCTTCACCGAAGACCAACAACTTCTCAGAAAGCGCGAGTGCTTCTGAGAACTCCCGCCGCCTTCTGAGAAGGCCTTCTCCTTCTCATTTCCCCCCCTCGCTCGCCGCGGATTCAGGATTGAGTGTCTTGCGAGGGTTTGCGGCTGCGTCCCGACCGCATGTCAAAAAGGAGCCGTATCACGGTAGCTGCAGCATTCCTGAAGACGAGTGCGCTCGGCGCTGAGGCGAGAGCCTCATTTTGAAAAGGAGTTGCCCTCCGTTCTTGAATTCATGGCACATGTTTAAGACGCATGAGCGCATCGCTAAGGCGAGAGCCACCGCCGCTTGCGGGCCCGCGGGCGTGAAAAGTTGTCGAAGTTCTTCAGCCGGCGGGACTGGCCCGGCGTGAGCACAGGAGCTGTATGCCGAAGGGGCGGCCTAATCGTAAGAACAGTGCGCTGTCCAGTCGCGCGAACAGCGCAGACTTTTCAATCGAAGGGCGCGGATCCTATGTTGCACAGACAGCGCACGCTCACCGATTGAACAGCGTAGCGTTGCGAGCGGGGGCTCCGAGGATCGGGGGCGCGGCTGCCTCCAGGCGGCGTGCGTGAAGAAGTCCAGGTCGAGGGGTGGGGGGGCCAGGCGGCGCGCCCTGCCGGACCCCATCCCCGCCGCGTGCCCTCGGTCGGCAGCCCCTGCAAAGGAAGAGCTCCCCCCCAGGGAAGCGGAGGAGGAAGAGGGGGAGGACCAGAGCAAACCCAAGATTCATCAGCGACGTTGGAATAGACCATCCCTCCAAGGTCCTTTTTCACAGGCCCCTACAAGGATTAATTTCCACGGGAGGACGTGCCCCGTTGGCAGACAATCGTGTGAAAATCCTGAAGCATTCCAAAACACCACTCTCAGGACCTCAACGCCACGAGTCATCCGAACTGGTGCGTCTTGACGACCTTGAATCGTGCCAGAAGAGCAGGAGGGGGAGGGGGACGGGGAGAGGGAGGGGGAGGAGCAGGAGGAGGAGGAGGAGGAGGAGGAGGAGGAGGAGGAGGCGGAGGAGGCGGACGACCGCAGCGGCGGATGCGGCGACGACGGCGCGACGACCGGCGACGAGCCGACGCCCGCGCCGCCCGACCGGCGCCTCCCGCGCGGCCGCACCCCCTCGCAGAGGCAGGGGCCCGCCCCGGGGCGGCGACGGGGCGAAGAGGGCCGCGCCGCTCTCCCCCGCGCGCGCGCTCCTGCCCCCCCGGGGGGGCGCGCAGCGCCCGCCTCCCCCCGGGGATCCGCGGCGGATGGCCGCGGGGCGCCGCCGCGCGCCTCGGGCCGAGGCGCCGCCCGCGCACCGTCCCCCCTCGTGGACCTCGGGGCGCCCGAGGGCGCCTTCGGGCGAGCGCGGGCCTCCTCCTCCTCCTCCTCCTCCTCCTCCTCCTCCTCCTCCTCCTCGTTCTCCTTATAAACAGTTTCTTCCTGTCGCACCCCGAGGCCAGTTTTTAGGGCGGGCCAGGCGTTTCGCCTGAGACTTCCTGAACATGTGTGATAATGAAGGTAAAACAGTCACAGCAGTTTCACAGATGCAGGGCGGGTGGTTTTCAACATGTGGCTCTCGCTTTGGCGCCGCGCACAGTTTTAAACATTTGCAAGAGTTTCATGGATTGAGGGAGGTTCCTTTTGAACATATGGCTCTCGCCTTAGCGCCGCGCGCATTCGTTATTACAACTTGCGAGAGCTTCACGGATTCTCATGATCAGCGTACCCAGACATGGCGTTCTGGAAGGATTCAGGATTATCATGCGGGTGCAACAGTTATGTTGGTTTGAGGTGTTGAAGTCCCAAACATGGCTTTCTGGTGACGTCAAGACGCAGCAGTCAGGTTGATCCGTGGCGTTGAAATCCCGAGAACAATGTGTCGGCATGCCTTAAGATCTTCAAACGGTTGTCTTCCAACGAGGAAGTCCCCTCAATTGAAGTGAACCGCTGTAGGGGCCTACGAAGAGGGAGCTTGGAGGGGGGGGTAATTCCAACATCGTTGATGACTCTTGGGTTGACACTGGTCCTCCTCCTCCTCCTCCTCCTCCTCCTCCTCCTCCTCCTCCTCGGGGGCCGAGGCGCCACGCGACTCGGCCACGCGCAGAGGGGGGGGTACGGAAGGTGCGCGTCGTGTTGACTCGGCGGCGACCCCGCCGCGGGCGTGCAAGGCTGGACGCCACCAGTGGCCTAGAACTGGCCAAGATGGACCGATCTGGCGATAGAAACGCCGCCGATTTCACCCGGTTCAACGGCCCACGCGGTGTCAGAAACCAGCGCTGGGGCCGTCACGGCACGAACCTGCCGTATGGGGGAGGGGGGAAGGATGCTCAGAGGGTGGCTGCTTCTTGGCAGGCGCGGGCCCGATCTGCCAGTGGAAGGCCAGCGCCTTACAAGGAAGCAGCCTCCCTCTGAGAAGCCTCCCCCCCCTCCTCCTCCTCCTCCTCCTCCTCCTCCTCCTCCTCCTCCTCCTCCCTCCTCCTCCTCCTCCTCCTCCTCCTCCTCCTCCTCCTCCTCCTCCTCCTCCTCCCCCCCTGCCCCATGCCCCCTTCGGCGCGCCGCCGATCTGCGCATCGGCTATAAGTAAGAGCTGCCTCCCGCTGCAGTGGCCTTAATTTGGTGCGGGTGCACGGGTGCCCCCCCGGATGGCTCATTGCGAGTCGATGGCAGCGGCTTGCGGGCTTCGGTTCGGCCTCCCCGCGGGCCCAAGAAGTCGCGCACCCAAAGGCCACTCTTGCCCAGGCTCAATCTTACCCATCAGTCGTTGAAAGCAGGTATTTGGGGAATCCCAGGTTCCAATCTACTTTAGGCGCCTTCCTACTTCAATGATCGAGTGGCTTTGCCTTTTCCGTCCTCTTTAGGGGGCGGGCGGACACCCAATCTATGTTCAACGCCTTCCTACTTCATGTTTCTACCTACTTCTTCCGATCGACGGGCTCATGTAGCCCAACGTGATAAGGCCTCCCACACGGGTTCCGAGGAGATGGGGTCGGAGGATCGCGCCG